GGCCGCGCAGCGCCGCCACGCCGCACGTGCTGCGCGCGCCCGCCATCGGCGCCACCACCGTCCACGTGCGCGATGCCGCGTCCCAACTGCACACACGCACACACCCTGCGTCTTACACCAACTGGCAACTTCGCAACCACATCTTGCTAACATTATAAATGTCAAAGTTTAGATGGATTGATGTTTGTTAGAAGGTATCTCCAGAACACTCATCATGTATTAATAAAACTTAACATAGATGTTTTTTTAAATGTCGCCAGGACAGAGCGCGGCGACAGTTAATATCTTATATAACATAGAAACTAATATTTATCAAGCTGACTTTACTTGCATATTAATTTCACTACCATTCCTGTGTCACAGAAGGTTAGGTTATGGACACAGAAATTCAAAACGTAAAATACACTGCTAGTAACATTTAAATTAGAAACAGTTATTAAATGTCACAAGACATTTTATTTAAATATTAAAACAGTTCCGTACATATATAAGTTACAACTTAGAAATTACAGCTTCTGTACGACTCAAAAATGACAGTTAGGGTTACTATCGGCTAATCATCAATGTAACCAATGCTAAATGAACACAATACAAGTGATAGCGTGCCACGCGATGTAAGGTGAACGTGTCGGCGACGTACCGTTCGACAGAGTTGAGGTATATCCAGCCGTCGTGTCCGCCGACGGCGTAGACGGGCGCGTGCGGGCCGTTGCCCAGCACGGCCACGCCCAGCCCGTGCCGGTGCGTGTTCATCGCCGCCAGCGTGCTCCAGCTCAGCGTCGTCAGGTCGAAGCAGTCCACCTGCCATCACAACTATCATCTACACCCGTTGCTAGTAAACATACTGTTCAGTACAGATCGTCACGTTGAATTTCGCAGCCCGAGTTAATGTGGGTAAAAGGGCTTATTTTTATTCTCGCGCACGGCGGGTAGATGGAATATCCATCTCCAGTACGGTCGGGCGCGGGGGCCGCGGAGAGGTGTGCGGAAAATTCGGAATCGAGCAGCCAAGCGAGTCGGTCGGGTACATGTGTGCCATTTGTAATTATCGGAAATGGTAGCTTATACGACAACGCGAAGACATAACGGGGGTGTGTTTCAGTTAGCGAACGGGGTCGCTCGAAATTCTTCAGGCAGATCGCTGGCGTCTATAGACTTGACAGAACCAGACTTGTCTGGATTGACACTGATTTTACTCTTTAGATTTGTGAAACAATTGAAAATGACAACGAAGGCCTTTGACATTGGATCACAATTACCATACCATGGCAATCTTGCTTCCTTGATGTTGGCAGCTTGTAGTTTATGGTCCTTTTCCCACATTCAGATTTTTCCCCGTTTATTTACCCCTTAAGTTTATAGCGTGAAATTATATACTCTAAAGCGTGGCGAAAGTGTAGGGCATTTTGTTAATCGCGGAAGATTGCGCAAGCGTTCCCGTGACCCAGCCACTGGCGGATAGAAGGAACACCGCTGGGTTTTTAGTGGGTATTCCGACCATCTTCCATCTTCTCGGCCGGCGAGTTCCAAATACCCCCCCTGGTAAACGAGGGGGGGGGATGCGTAAATGCATTTTCCCAGCGAAAAAAAAGGGCATTTTGTTAAAGAAACAATTATTCAAAAATATGCTGTGGTTCCTGACATCCTACGCCACGAAGTAGTGTGTATTTACGCTTACATTAGTATAGACGTATAGATATAGATAGATTTTCGCCTATCTAGACCGTCCCGCTCTGGCGACGCCTATGCATACTATGTCGCTTTCATTCAGAATACATTCTTAAATTCTTTGAGAAATTCTCCATTGCATTATTATTCTAAAAATATAGCCGGACACTCTTTGTGCATTGAATTACGTCAACGGTCATTTGATTTAACTTTTATTTAAATTTGCACGAAACTTACGGTATTCAATGTCTTCAAGCCATCTCTGCCACCCACAATGATCAGCTTGTTTTGGAGAACGGCCACTCCGAATTGCAATCGCCTCGTACCCATCCTCATGAATGGACTCCAAGTATTTGTTCGTGGGTCATATATTTCCATATTGCTTGCACCCTATTTATAAAGAAGTAACATTAAAACAAACTACTTTTCACACATAAAGTTTGACAACTTAGAGTCCACATTGCTATCAAGTGGTCAAATAACAACAATAAAAACATTTTAATTACGTCCCAAATGGATTGTTAATTTATTAAAATATTAGGAATCATCTTACTTAATTTTTAGAAACATTTTTATGTTTTTACAATATAAAGATGTAATTATTATATATTTTTTTTAATTGAACTATTGTAACATTCATCTAAATTAATATTATACTTGTTATTGAAGAAATAAATTACCTTGTTACCATCCATTCCACCAATAGCTAAAAGTCGGCCAATCGTAGATGTCCTCGGTCGTGTTCTATGAGATGATAGTGAAGTCCGTCTCTCCGGAAGTAAATGCCATTTCACTGCCTCCATTATTAACGGTTGACACTCTTGAATTTTACCACAACTCTGTTCCACTTTGTCAATTAAATACTGAAAATTTACACAATACACTACAATACAAAACTTACATTGTTAAAACAAGATATTTGCAAATTTCTGTTATAATCTTAGTTGAGAGAACAAAAGAGAATTTAGCAATAAACTTGTATGTATAAATTTAATCCTAACAATTTGAGGAACTAGGACAAAGAGATTCAAAAATATATAGAACAAGCTTAGTTGGCACTTCACTTCAGATATTTTCAAATAATCATTACTGTTGACAGCTTGGAAACCACATGTCAATGTAATTAATTGGATTTAAATTCATCACATTTTCTTTCACTGTTTAGTATGTTTTATAACAATAAAAGAAGAAAATGGAGCTTATTATAATATTATTAAATGTTTTATAACATGTCAATACAAGGACATGGCTCCTAAACTTGACAACTAACATAGTACCTTTTAAAGAAGTGGCCGGTGAAAAATGTTGTTTACTATGTCTACTCTACATGTTTCTTAAATTTCTTTGAACTACAAATTGGTAACACTGAAGAAAACAATACATACCTCAGATGAAAGTAGCGGTAATTTAACAAGTTTCAATAATGTAGGTAAATGTTTTTCCCGATTAATATTATCATGCTGTACCCATGTCATCACACTGTCAAACACATCTTCTTCCGATATTACATTAAGATCATCAGATTTGAGCAAGTTGGCTAACTGATCTACTTGTAAAGATAGATATTCAGGGTGCTTCACTACCTGAAATTATTTTATTAAATATTATAAATGCAAAAGTTTAGATGGATGGATGTTTGAGTTTGTAGTCCAAACAGCTGAACGAATTTCGATAAAATTTGGCATAGATGTAGAGGATAGTCTGGAAGAACACATAGACTACTCACTTTTTTTTTAATTTCACGCGGACGGAGTCGCGGGCGAAAGCTAGTTTTATTATAAAGATAAATTTATTATCTATTATGGTAATGTAAAACAAAAAAAAAAGAATTTTGATTGTATCTAAAAGGAATAAATTGTACAAAATGATATTGCTTATGTGATATTACTAGTAAGCTTTAAGCTGTATTGGATTACAATCCTCATAGTTGTAAAACAGATTTGTGCTTAATGGCAAAAATTTCATATAAGGAATTGAACATAAATTTCAGGAATTTATATCAACATTCATTCACAATCAGCTAAATTTTGTGCTACTTACAAATAAGTTAAAGCTTTATTTACTACTAACTTTTACCCGCAACTCCGTCCGCTTGGAATTGAAAAGAACAAAAGTGAATAGCCTATGTGTTTTTCTAGACTGTCCTCTACATCTATGCCAAATTTCATCGAAATCTATTTAGCTGTTTAGGCTACAATCTCTAATAAACAAATATTCATCCATCCATTCATCTAAACATTCACATTTATAATATTAGTAAGATAGAGTGTTACAATTTAATCTAAGTAAAAAATAATGATTTATTGACCTCAATGAAATGTTGATAAGTGTACTCCAAAGCACTTTTGTGTAAAGTGAGGCAAGATTGATGTTCAGCAAACAAAGCAATCCCTAAAGAGTTGCAAGGGTCTAGCTGCTTCATAAGAAATGTACAGCAAGCTTTTGTAACAGCATGCAGCTGAAGTAAGCTTGCTGTCGACAATAGCACTTCAACTGATTCTTCCTTCAGCTCTGCAAGAAAAAAATGTAATGTAAAGACTAGAAAAATTAGAAATATGCTTGACAATGAAACAAAGTATTAACCTATTACACCAGTGTAGCAATAATGCACCAACGATTGTAAAGCTGTAGCATCAACTCTCTCCAATACAATTTCATTTAACTTTGCTTCTTTCAAAGAGCCTGTGAACATTGCTGCAAAATACTCGCTGCATGATGATAAGACTACTTTATGTGCTGGAATCCTGTCAGAAAAAAGTGAAAAGGTGTATTATTGTGCTATCTACAATAGTTTTTGATGTTTTTTTTAGTTTCTATATGAATGCATATATGTTTGTTTTTCTTTGTGTACAAACAAAGGAATTATAGATTGAACTAAACAAAGGAATATAAGTGTTACTCACCTGCAACCTTCGGCTATAAGTACTACATCACAAAGCTTCTGTGAACGATAATACCCGTATATATTTTTTAGAGCAACTTCGGAATGTCCATTGTTATAAAATTCATCTTGACTCGATGTGCTCGTAAGACTTATTTGACTAAACTCCCGAGGCAATCCTTCATCAATCGAATTTGTGGAAACATTATCATTAGCTGTTTCTGATTTTTGTGGATCACAAGCTGACATTGTGAAGAGTTCACTACTTTTGCACCAATTATTTTTTTTCAAACTAACTGACTTAACTAAGCGACAATAAATCAATAAATGAAAACAAAGACAAAGACATGTCAAATGCAGCGGCACTCGACATTGACAATTCTGAACAGTAACCAAAGTAGACAGATGTCACTGTCACTGTCTGACTATGTCTTGCGTGGATAGGCTATGAACAGTGGTATTTTGTGTCTGTTTGAATTTTGTCATTTTTGCACTGATTACTATTAGTTCAACTATAGTTTGTCTATTCAAGGCATGGAAGTACTACTAGAACAGGAATGAGCTTTTGTCGCAAAATTGAAGCCGATCAAGACTGTACCTTTTATCCCTCTCTGGCGATGGTGACTATGTGAAATTATGATTTAAGGACAATAATTATAAAAATCTTATTAGTGTTGTCTGACTACAGCAGATTATTGCTTCAGATGGATCTTAATCATTAATGTATTTAAAGAGAACAATAAAAAATACTTAATTCTAAAACAGACATAGCTAAAAAAAAAGTGTCGTGAAGTTTATGCCGCAATCCTAGCTTATTCCTTATATGTTAACTCTGAAATTAAAACAAAGTTATTTTAATAGAGATAGGAATAAATATATGCATAAGTATTTAAGTTATTTGTTCTCGACTCGACTAGGATTGGATAATCATGTATGGTCACCGTAATTCTTCACCAAAAAATTATATTTAAAACTATTGCCTGTAAAAATATAATCCACTATCAGCATAATACTCGCTTCGGCAAGCCTCCACGACACAAACTCTTCCCACCTTGTTTAAAATTCTTCAAAAATATCACCAAATCAAAAGGTACTTAGCCCTTTGGTCTGAGTCGGAATGTCATGTGGGGTTGTCAGTTCAGGTGTCTGAATTTTAAACAAATAAAAGAAAACATGTACGCTAGTCGCATTCTTCTACATTAATAAGGTTATACACGTAGCAACAAATAATACTGCTTTAACATATCGGTACTAAATTATAATTAATATTTAGAAACATTTTAGATGTAAATGATTTACTTCATTACTCTGTATCAATCGCCTATTTTTCTACGAACAACGAAAAGATTGATATCTGGCAACTCTAGGTCATTGTGAGAAAGGAACAAAATGGACACTTGTAGCCCTCTCACTCGGTATCAATTTTATTTTACGTACAACAAGAGTCTTACGCCCTTGGCATAAGGTTTTATTTTCTTTATTTCAACTGCAAAATGCAAATGAAACAATAATTTCCTGTTGTATTAATTACTTTCGTGGACAAACTATGATATAATAATAAACATATAATTGACTACCAGTAGCACATGCTAAGATTGTCTTTCTAAGCAACGAACTATCTATGTCAAGAGAGGCCAGTGGTCTTAGCTAGCAAATTTTTTTTGCGGTACCGCGCATTATTACTGGCAGTATTGCAAATTAGTAAAAGATTATACATAAACTGGATATGGATGACAATTCTCTATGTTCTCATATTACCCATTACAGAAGAATAAATGTTTCTTTTTTTAAAATAAGTCTTCATGTGGATAAACATGATTAACTATTAGCTCCTAAATAACCTGATATTTTAATCTTGCATTACATGCAGTCAAAAATGATACACGTTGCAATTTATCCTTTGTGTTCTCATCTTGTGTTAAATTAGATAAAACAGCCAAACTGCCACATTATCCCGTTGATGCTCCGAAGTCAGAACCAATTTACATTAGAACTATAACGAGAAAAACCTTCAGGTTATGGAGCTCTGTAATTACTACTGACTTATAAATGCTCGAGGAATTAGGAGCAACAGAAATTGGAGTCTACTTTTTTAGGCCGTTACTATTAAGGAAGTCTATGAATAGTGAGCTAGTGATATCCTTTGCAATAATGTACTAATTCTAAACAATGTTGACAAACTTTATTACTTAAACCCTTAAGATGTTAGACAAAGAATGTTAAAGTTCTCGGTTTAAAAGGACGCGTTAGATTTAAACTTAATATTTTTACTACTCCTTTTTTCTTTTCTGTCGTTGCGATTTCGTCAATTTGGTGATGTTTGCTTTAATCTATTCAATAAGGTTGTAAACTTCAAGAAGCTATTGGTTTGTAGTATCAGCTGTATAAACGATCGGTATAAAAAAATAATAGTTGTCATCTGGCTGAGGCATTTATTAACATTTATTTTAATTATTTATCTTAAATACAACATATATAGTAATTAACAATACATAATAAATAGTCCAAAAGTATATTACGCCTACAAAATAGCGTAGTCGTTATAAGATTATCGCCAAATGAGTTGCAAACACATGTTCTACGAATGTAAAGGCAACTCATCTATGACACTGTTGAAGGGATAGGAATTATCTCTGGGAGAATGAAATTTATAAGGTGTCATAGGATTGACGTGACGGCGTCTGTTGGAATGCTGCGTAGTATTGTGTTACTCCTCTTCGTGTCTTGATTATTTCACTCTTAAAAGCGACGCAATGACGATTATCCGAACGAGCATCAGGACAAACCAAGGAGCCTCGGATCCGAACTTAGTATGGTGATATTTATTTTTTGTTTGCGTTGTAAACATTAATACGAAAAATGCTTTCAATCCTCATACGGATATAACGATAACGATTCTTTGTGCGGTGGTAGTGGATACTTTATTGTTTGTCCGTTTTGGCAAACATAACATTCTGTGAAAATATAATGTAAATATCTATCTAGTGATAGTGAAACAGATATAAGTATCTACAAAAATAGTTGCATTTTCAAATAATATTATTATGAAATCAGTTGAAGCTATGTAACATCGCGTCTATTGAAAACTGCTTACAAATTTATAGACATCGCTTCTATGAAAACATTTCCTTTTATAAATTCTATTTAACTGAGATATAGGTATAAAGAGTAACAACTACAAGTATGACATCTAAAAATATTTTTAATTAGCCCTCAACAATAAATTTGTCGAAGTGGTAACTTCAATTGAGCGCAAAGATCACTTTAGGCAGATGGATGACAAAGTTACTAAATGTTTTGTGTAGCATTGGTCTACCTATATGTGATTTAAAATCACTTCGGAAGAATATGTGAGCATCTTAATTGACCTCGGTTTGGAGGCGAGTGTACCAAGTAATGTAGAAGACGAATTATCTTTGCGCGGTAGTTCAGTACACGTTTAGCATGATGGTGACTGGACTGGTGGTAGGATGGACGAATATGTTAGAGTCAAGGCAGGTGCGACTAACGGTAGCGGGTGCCAGTGCATCGTGGGCAGCGGGGTGCGGATGTTGTCGCGTCTATGGCAAATATCTTGATCCTACAACGAGTACAATGAAAACTGCGTTAACATTTAACATTCCAATAGACTAAACACCAATGATGTTTTATTCCTCTATGTACAGAAAATTGACAGAGAATTGCTAATAGTTTATAAATTATTCGTACATATTTTGTAAATAAATTAATATTAGCTTATAAATAACATATATATAACTGAATGAAAAGGATAGTTTGAATTGACAACCAATTGTTGCCTGTCGGCAAGGTCTAACTGAGGGAATATTTAGCCCGCATCTTATACAGACTCGTATAGTTTTACAAGTAAGTAAATAAGATAATAATCAATAAGATAATAATCGATAGGTACATAGACTATACACGAGATCATGATTTGCATCTTATCCTATAATATTTAAAATATCACAATAAATTGTTGTGCACATACGAAACAGGCAAATTTTGAGTGCAATTATGTTAATATTTAGCAATATCATTAAGTACTAAGAAATTAAATACATTTTAGAAATTATAGACTTAATTACATTTTATTAAAATATTGAAAATTTATGAATGTAAGTTCGCCGAAAGATGGAATAAGATTTTATGCTTTTATTTTTTAGAATAAAAAGTTTAGAAAAGTCTCTAGTGAGCTAAACGAATGCTGAGGTACCTAGGTAGTACTCCAATTAATTGTTTTGAAAATTGAAAATAATGCAGTAATTAAAAAAAAAATTAAGACGTTTGAGGGTTGCAAGACCTTTTTGTTATGTAAAAAATAAGTGAATATTGAAATATACAAAAGACAAACAGATTAAATAATTTACAGACGTGTCACTATAATAAACAAACATATTATAGGTATTTTTAATTTAGATGCGGCGATCGCGACCAAACCGTTATTAGAAAATCAGTCAAATTAAGGTATTATTTTTTACAGAAGACATAAATTAGCAAAGTGATAATTCTCAGCTTCTTAAAAGCTAATTAATTTGTGATATATTTTCCTTTAAAATTGTAAAAGTTTTAATTAAAACTTACTATGTTTAGGATAGACCTTAATTACTAGGATTGTTGAACTAATCGTAATGTTCAAGAGTAAATTATACCCGAAAGTGGGCGACCGTTGGTTAATAAATTATGAAACACTAGGCAATAAAATTAATACAAAAACTGGATCAGTTCGACTGTTCTTTTAATTTACGCAATGGTTTTCATCAAAATTAGTATACTAATAAATTGGTCTAAATGCGGCGCAATCGCGGACATCTTAATTAAAACCCCTGAGTGTAAACAATTTGTGTTTAATTTGGTATTTGGTTTATAGATAAATCGACGATAAGATTCACATCAAAGCAGATTTAGAAACAAATGTAGGATTGAACTGTGTTGAAGACCAAATTGAAAATACAAGTACCACTAAGTCTGATGGCTCAAGAACTGTATAATGCGACAAACTTATCTGGCCCGACGGGCAAAATCGATGGCCCCTACGTAATTTATCGTAAGTTTCAAACGCAAATTTTACTATATATGAACATATAATAGACGACAAATATCTATATTCCTTTTTCTTTCTAAAGTTACTTTCAAATTTACACATAAATTAGTATTTATTAATTTATTAACAGAAGAAACAACGGAAAGGCGTAAAATAACAACAACAACAACAAAGTTATGTCTTATGATACGTTGGAACCATCGGAATGTATAAAAAAGACAAAGTGTTTCCAGTCAATGTCAAAAAAATGTCACAAGATCTTTGGTTACAAAAGTCTACAGCTGTCTCGGTGAGTTTCCATTAGTGTAACAATTATCTTCCAATATTGCCATCATTCCCATTTTGTCGAAGTAAACAGAGATAGCAATATTTTATTAACATGTGTTACAACAATTTAAATTCACTGGTATATTTTATAAAACTAACCGCCTAATCGCCCCTGTATGACGCACCGGACCAGAAAACTTTGTCGAACTATGACGTCCTCTCAGAAGTTAGGGGTATTTTATTTCATTTTTAGTTTGCGGTTAATAACGATTGCTTGTTTGTTTCAAAAAAGTCTTTTATTGGAGTGAATTTCCTAAGTGTTGTTTTTTATAATAGACAATTACATTTCGAAAATCGACTCGCGATTAGGTGTCAAACTTGTATGGAACATAACATCAATGACTATATTGGGGAACTAAAAAAACTATAACTTCTAGATTAAGTATATTTGGAATAAAAAAATGTGATTTGATGTGCCTCCTTAATCTCTTCGGATTTATCTTTATTTACGCTATGTTCACATCCTATGTTATGATATTATATTACATTTACAAATTGTATTGGTGTTTATAAACTTTGATGCAAGATGGCCGTCGCCGCCGCAATGTTTATTACAAGTCAAACAGAATAGCTCTTCTATACTAGTCACTGCCGTTTAAGAAACTTTTACTTTACTAAGATTATATCCTCCAATATACAATTTTAATTTATTAAAATGCAAATTCTACATAAATTATTCACTACACATATTTTTATCTAGATCACTACACGTTAAAATATGCGAAACATATTTTTTTTACATACACCATTTTTTTTTGTATTTTTTTGTGCATTGAAAATAATAATACAACAATGAATCGAATTTATATTTAAGTGCATCACACGCGACTAACTTCTAAAATAAGCATAATAAAAACCTTCAGGTCATATTCAATTTTAACTTAAAGTTACTAATTCATAAAATTTCTATTCATTTACATTATAACAAACCTTAAATCCGATATAATTAGTAATTTATATTTATAATTGAATTACGCCTAAATTCTAAAATGTTTAGGATGTGAACAATGTGTTTATTCAAAGGTTTATTTGGATCACTTTAATCTAATTTTATTTTATTTTACATTTCAATTTGGTCAGAGTATGTCTGTTAAGCTAGTGACACATTTGTAAATAAAAAAAAACGTTAAAAAAAACAATATTTAGTTAACGTTTTCAGGACAACAGATACAATTAGGTACCTCAAAATAGTAATGTGCTTCTTTTATATGCGAGTAAAAAATGTTAAACAATAAATATAACTAGTATGTAAAAAAATCTAATGTAGTTAAACTATAAAATAGGAACTGATTCATGACTAGAATCGATAACAGTTCAGACTTCTTCGGCAAATGATATCTTCGATCTCGTTCAGTCGAAAACTTGTGCTACCATATTACAATACAATATTACTAAATAAAAATATCTACGGAATGATTTACAAGGATTTATCGGTTATAAATAGCTGCCATTATGAAGACCATTGTTAGGTAACGTTCGAGCCCGTTTAAGGAAACTCAAGTCACCAGTTGCATATAGGCCGAATATTTAAATCAATACAGTGAAATAGTTTAACTTATGTACACGTACAGACCTCCAATTTACTTTACAACCCTCATAAATATAAGGAATGTATTGAATATAAAATTAACAACCTACAAGATAACGTACAATAAATAAATGTTACAATTGATAACATATTCAAATGTCTGAGAAATTACAAAATAAAATTATACTAAACATTTTACCATTAAATTACAGTCTTAAATTGTTTAACATTAATAAACTTAATAATTAGAAGGGAAACTAATAAGCTGCACGTAGATAGAGTGTTGGGACGAACCAGAAATAGTATGTCATTCAAACCTCGCGTACAAAGTCGCCTTCTGTTTGCAGTCGCAATCCTCACACTCTTTGAGTGCCCATGTTTTGGCCTAGACTGTTAGACTGTATACCTTGTGATATGTTTTAATAAAGGCATAAAGTCCCACGTCTGGTTGCGCCCGAATGTTATCCTGTGTATTCGCAGCTTCCACTGAACTCTCGCACATGTCGGTTGATTGTATCTATGTCAGTCTGTTGGGGTTTGTGCAGTACTGTCGGTTCGGTAGCACTAGGGAATGTCGGAGGGATAGATAGATTAACGGCCGCGCGCCCATCGTAGGAGCGCATCTGCCAACACGTCTAGATGAGCTTTTGTCTGAAAAACAACAGAAACATATTGTTAATTTCTTACAATCAAATATTATCCAACAATCATGTATACATGGAGTATAATTAAATTTAAATAAATCACTTTTTCATTTTCATTTTCATTTCTAATTGTTTAAGGTGTCAAAATAGCAAGCAGCCACCAGAGGAGGAGGAGGATATTGTCCTTACACGTATTGTTAATTCCTTTTTTCAGTGAGAATGAATGAAATTACAATATGATGTTTTTATACGTGTGTTTCAATAGCGGTAACCGATTAGGTGAGGCCTAATAATATCCTTCTGGGTGAGTAGATGATTATTTATATAGCATTACCGTTTTATAAAACATGCAAGCCTGGCGGTCCTCGTCTTCGCCGTTGGGGCAGTCAATAAAGCCGTCGCACAGCACGTGGTCGTCGATGCAGCGGTAGCGGCCCTGCCGGTCGGGCGTGGGGCACGCGAACCGCTCCATGCCATCTGCCGCTGGCGGGCACTCTGCGGAACAATAACAACATATCTTATTTCATTGTACACAACAGCTATACTATTAGCAACCTGTTGTGTTGATGATAAATTAGTAGAAACACTTTAAAACTCTAGCTGTTGCATTCTAACAGTATTCTGTTATTCTATCCTTAACTTACAACGAATTCCCCTAAAACTGGTGGTAGCGAATCTGATGTTTATGCTACTTTTTTCTTAACATTAGCACTTTTTAATAAAAATAGAACAAAATGTGTACTGTACTGTATAAGACTGACTATGAAGATGAACAAATTCCTCACCGTATTGTACCTTCGCGATGCAATTCTTAGAATATCTAAGTAACAATGTGAATTACATGCAATGTAGTATAGCTGGCAGAAAAATAGACTCAAAGGCTCACCGTTTATTTCCCTCGCCCTAATAAACTTTTATTGTAGGTTATTTCACATAATTACAGTTGTCTCTACCTCTTACTATTCAATTAAAGTAATGGTACTATGTTGAGATACATAACAAGGTACAACCAAGTTGTAGCTAATATTAACTTCCATTCACTTTAGTGGATAATTGTTCTAACTACATGAGAGCTTTCTTGAACAGTTGCAAGTTCACAACTTCCGTGAATACCTAACTAGTTTAACGAAATCCACAGTAGTGTGTTGAAGATATCTGTTGAACTGAACCAATTGACGATGTCAAAAATTTGTTCTATTATTTTTCTTGTATGAGTGACTCGGACGGTGTGAATCGCCACATGTATAACAGCTAATTGCTCTACAGATTCGAAAAAAAAAATTGTTGTATGCGTATTAGATCATCATTATCAGCTTACTAAAGATACCATTGAGGGCACGGTGCCTTCTATAAGTTAAGGGCGACAAAACAATAGCGATAAAACACAAAACAACGTAAATAGCTCAGACGTCTGCATTATGGTAGAAAACCAAAGTTTTACTGAGCTCAACATTTGTCGTATATTTAAATCCGACGACATCAGATGCAAGTTGTGGCCATATATCAAGGCGGTGTAAGAGAATACGTGGAAAGGTTTCTTTAAGTTAGCCCCGTTCGGTGAAGGCGGTCGGCTACTCTATTGCGAGCGTCTATTTTTAGCACTGCCGGGGAAAGTGTTGCTCGAGGCGGTTGCGCGCGCCCTCTGTTCTCTATTCCTTAGTCGGAGACGACTTGTGCATTCGTAAACAGGGTCCAAATTATTATGTTGAGTTTAATTTTAGTTACAACTTCTGTCCAGCTTTTAATGTTTTCGTCGTAATGCATTTAAAACGAATAATAGTTGTCACAAGATAAAAAATTAAGTACCTGTAGCATTTTTATATATCGTTAAAAAAAATTAACTTTCTAATGCTAAATACACACTCATAGGAACGTGTTTTGATTGTTTTTAAGAAAATCATTTGTGTCGTGGTTTTTAATTTTTTTATGAAAAAAAAAATGTACACGACAGTTTCAATTACATTTAAAATAAACACTAGAATGCGTTGCTAGTATATTGGCTATTTAGAATCAGGCCTCAGAAGTTTATTAATGATCCAAATATTAGTTTAACATCGTTTTAACTGAGAGACGAGGGCGTTGAAACAAAAATAAACTTTACAGATTTACGCAAATAGAACACGTACCCTTGACATTAAGGATTGATTGAAACTGTTGTTCCTAACCTATATTTAGAAACTACTAAATTAATTAAATTATAAGACTTCACATATCTATATCTATACTAATATTATAAAGAGGAAAACTTTGTATTTTTGTATTTTTGTATGTATTGAAATAACTCAAAAACCACTGGACCGATTTTAAAAATTCTTTCACCATCAGAAAGGTAAATTATCTGTGAGTAACATAGGCTATATTTTTACTAATGTTTAGGAACTATTAATAAACAACGTGTTTCTGGACGCGGGCGTCAAAAAATGACTAAACTTTAACTTTTCTCGGTTTACGCTGCCTAAACCGTTAGAGGTATATAAAAATGATGTATGAAAGAATTGTAGATCTCAAAAAGTTCTATAGAAAAGTCCGCGATAGCATAAATCTATCTTTAACGTTTCTCTTGCAATAACCACTTTTTTGTTTACAAAATGAATTTTAAAACCTTACGCTATTTGCAGCGTATCAAGGAGATTTCATCGTCATCCATACACGAAAATGAATGGTGCAACTTGTTAGTGGAATTGCCACTTTATAACGTACCTGCAACTTGTTTTTAACTTGCGGGAACAAACAGATAAAAACACATAAATTCTAAGATTTATCATCAACGTTTGAACTTTGCTAGTAACACTTCTATACGTTAGGTATGCAATACACATGAAAGTAGGTGGCCTGCATCCCAGTTATTGGCACCACAGGTATGTGTGTCTGTACCTGGCGTGCTCGTAGCTAACAGGATTTCTGATTTTGCGACAGCTATGTGCAAATAAGTGAGATGATGAGGAGATATTCGTACCTCTACTACTCTCTCTGACACTGACACTGATATGCCTGGTTTCATGTGACCTCGTTGACATTTTACTGGCGTGTGCACGCATTGTACCAGTAGCCTGTAGCTGGCAGGTAAGCTACAACCCCGTTTTATGTTTATTTCCGTTGTTACGGTATTCGACATGAAATTAAAATGATTTAGTTATTTGTGTTGTAAATTGGATCAAATTCGATGACATAATTTCCTTCGGGGAAATAATTAAGTAATTTTGATACATAATGATAAAACAAATGATCTAAACGAATTTATGTGATGGAAGTTAGTCACAATATACTGACTCATACTTTTGTAGTTCTTGATTGGTCCCTTCTCCGAAATTTGCTAATATCATTGAAAGCAAAATTTTTATTGTTATATCATCAGTATCCTCACTTTAGCCCCATGGCGAATGTTCACGTATTTCTAAAATATCACTTCTTTAGTATGGCGTCGGTAACATATTTTTAACAAGGGTTCACTACTTGTTTGTCCCTTTATCATATAGAAAAATAAAAATGAATTTTCTATTTCAAGCCTGCCTTTTGTGTGGTGACATTTTCCTTGTCAAGGTGGCCCATTAGCTAATAGTAGTTGAATGAACTATGAACTCTACAGTAAAATTGATATTATGATGTTTGATGAACTGTATAAAATTCTTTTAGGTAGTAGTTACACGAAGCGGGGGCGGGTCGCTGGTTTTTTTCATAAATAATTTATTTTAATTAGACGTTACTTCAAAGCTTTCACTTTGAGTAATATTACTTTTAAAAATTATTTACTGGCGAAGGTATTTGTACACCCACTAAATTGATGTCCTTACCGCGACTACCTACGTTGTATCATGTTTATATGTTAGCGGATATGTACGAAATCTGTTATTATACACAATTCCTAGTAAAAGTACTCCTAAAGCGATTCGGGAATGTGTAATAAATTATCCCATACACATCCCTAGGAAATCTATACATTTACAAAACACCAAAGGGCAAGCCAGAGATCGGGGGGGGGGGGGTAAACCGATGTTTAAGGAGGGGTTAGTAGTAAAAAAACCGTGTAACAACATGTTTTATTCATTTTATTTACGGAAAACATTAGTTTCATACATCACCTAATACGATTTTTTATATAATTCCTAGGGAATGTGTATATCTACCAAGATATATGTCTATTTAAAAAACCTTGAGACAACATTTAACAAATTGCCAAAGCTGGTTCGGAATTTTCTGCTTATTCTATAAATAGTTTACAATTCCTATATCACAGATTCCCGGTAACATGTCCATAAACAAACAAAGTATTCTTACTGTCGCCCGCTTATGTTTAACTTTCATTCTCGCATTTCACAAAAGAGCTGCTTTCGTTCCGCTTGTTACAAATACTAAGGTATTAACAACGCGACAAAGGAAAATATAACTTTCGCGTAACATTTTATATTAAAACAACCAACATTTTCTTAAATCTTAAATAGTATAGTAGTAGTAAATTTTAATAGCGTACGTTTTAATTTTGATGATCGTTGATGGAAAAGTTGACTAAAGATTCAAACTCTTGATTTAAAACTAACTTTCGCCCGCGACTTCATAAGCGTGAAATAAAACATACAGACGAATTGAGTACCTCCTTCTTTTGGGAAGTCGGTCAAAAACAAAAGTAAGTAGCCCTTGTGTTCTTCCTGACTATCTTATACAACCCTGCCAAATTTTAATCGAGATACGTTCAGCAGATTAGATTACAAACTGTAACAAATAACCATCTATTTAACTTTTGCATTTATAATATTTTTCACAGATAAATGTCCTAATCTAAGCGAACCTAATGGTTAGCTAATTACTATATAATAAAGTTACCCTGAATTTTTTTTAATATACGAAAAAATAAATTATTTACTCATGAAACTTGATTATTATCCCATTTGAATTCCTTGTAATAATCGAAAATTATTGCATGCCTCGTCTTCCCTTTGTTGAAGTTTTGACAATAAGTTTGATAAAAGAATACATATTTATATTAAGTCAAAAGTTACGTTAAAGGTTAAAATAAGAATATTTTCCTACAACCTCTGACGTTGTTACAGTTTTAATAACCATAACAAATTAATTATGTTTCTTTTATTATACGTTAAAAAGAATCAAGATAATGAGGACGTTATCCAATTTAATGGGTAACTTCTTAATAACGATATTTTTCATTTCCAGCGATTAATGTCTAAGTAAACGTGCTTCGCTGCTGGAAACATAAGTCTAATTTATGATTTTTTTCGTCGCTTATTATATTTAGTGCTATAAAATAGACGTATTATATTTGAAGTTCAATTTGAATTTGAAACACAAAAAATTGACAACTGTCACTCTTTTGCGATCTCGTAAATAATAGCGGTCTCCATGTAGAAATTAAATACACTATTTTTGCTATATTATTATTTTGATTGCTTTTAGAATGATAAACTGCCTTACTTTATACCAGGAATCCATAGTCAAAATCATAAATATCACATGTTATATGTCTTTTTCTTCTTACATATTTC